AAGGTTCAACCTGCATATTTTCTTTAATCAGCTGCTCTTCCAGCTTTTCTTCCACCTTTATTTTACTTCTAAAAGCTCCACAAGTACTCAATTTCATTACTAAATCTTCTGTCAAGAGAGATTGTTGCAAAGGTTTAACCCGCATATCTTCTATCAATTGCTCTTCCAACTTTTCTTCTAATATCTCAGCTGTAGGTAATAAAGAGCCCGCCTTCAAAACAGAAGTATAAAAATCTTTCGCTTTTGAAATTGTATCAAGTCTGTAACGTGTCCCTGCATAATTCACCACTATTCCAGCCGGTATCTCCCATCTGAAACAAATCTGTCGCCTCTTAAGCTCATCAGCCAGAAAAGCAAAATGCTTTCTTACTTTGAGAATTCTTGAAGGTAGTTCTTTCAGAAGTATAACATCCTGGGCTGCAATTTGAAATCTCTGCTTGTAAAAGGCTTGTAAAATTTTATTACGAAGTGATCTACTAAAAAAAATAAATAACCACATCTTGTGGCAGATTCCTCTGTCATGCAACCCTTGAATTAACCCTAAAAACTTTTTCTGTCTCTCTCAATATTTCTTCAGGCTCGGATTCCAAAATAAGAGCTATATCCTTTGCAACCACTTGTCTCAAATCTTCTTGATTATTTTCCTGCATTCCCCTTATTCTTAAAGCAGACTCCATACTTCTGTATCGTAACATAGTAATTTCATCCTGAATTATTTCCACCTTATTTTATATTTTATCTTCCAATTTTTCAGAATTTTCTACAGCAACATCAATACGCTGATCCAAACGATCTATGTGATCAGCAAACTTCTGAAGCACAGACGCTATATCTTCTCTCAATTTCCTAAATTTATTTTCAATAATTTCACTTATCTCTTTTTCAATCCGTTGTACACTATCTTCCAAAGCGTCCTGTAAGTCTTTAGGTAAAACTGCTGGTAAAGCTGAGAAAAGTGGTGGAAATTTAGACTCGATTTGCTGAGCTGTCTGCATTACCGAAGAGGAGATTGAGGCTTTAGAAACAAAAGCTCCAAAATGCTTTGAAGCCATCTTAAAAAAAAAAAAAAATTCTTAAAATCTTATAAAACCTTTAACAAAGAGAGAGAGAAAAAGAAGAAGACAAAAGGAGAGGAAAAAAGACAAAAGCCCCCTGTGTATATAAAAAAAAAGAAGAAAAAAGAAAGCTGTTACATTGTTTCAGATTGAAGTTCCGGTCCTTTCACTCTTAAAAACAACATCTCAGCGCCATTTTTCACCCCTCTCAAATAAGAAAAGAGAGAAGATGAAATCTTTTCCAGAGTTAAAGTCTCAAAATAATCACAGATATAATCTCCCTGGTCAGCTCTGTCTGCTTTAAATTTTACTCACAAGTTCATTTTGAAAGCAGATGTGTAAGCAGCGTCTAGCTTTGCCCCCCCCAAAAAAAATAGAGCAAAGGCATCCTGGAATGTGGAGAACACCTCACACTCCGTGGGAGCTCTCACCCTCCGACCACCAAAAAAAAAAAAACTTTGGGGTCTCTCAGGGACCCCTGCCACTATCCGAGGGAAACTCATCTCCTCCCTTTCACCCAGGGAGAGAGATTCCAAGCCGCGAGACGGCTGTTGCTCGCTGTCTCAGCTGGCTTTGACACATTCCAGGTCGGACGGCTGAAAACAGCCGCCATCGGCGCCGCCGTCACAGCTCCCTTGTTGTTTATGTTGGTGTTTTAAAGTTTTAAATAGAGACATTAGGCAAGATGAGACAATAATGGGTATAAATATCAAGAAAGAAGTTTACAAATTGAGGGCATTTGCTGATGACTTGGTTACATTCCTGCAGGACCCAAAAAATAAGATAGAATATATATGGAGGAAATTAAATGAGTTTGGGATTCTAGCAGGTTTTAAAATAAATAAACAGAAAAAAATAATGTTGATCAAGAATATGTCCTCCTAGGATAATGTTATATTGAGTAAAAGGTCTGGTTTCAAGGTTTAGAAAAAGGTGAGATATTTGGGGGTTATTTTGACAAATACAAAACTGTTTCAAAATAATTATGTACCTCTTTGGAATGATATAAAAAAGGATCTACAAAGATGGGACAAACTACATTTATCATTACTGGGCAAAATTTCAGTAATTAAAATTAATGTTTTACCTAGATGCTCTTTCTGTTCTAGACAATACCAATACTTACAACGGATATTCCATTTAAACAGTGGCAGAGGGATATCTCTAAATTTACATGGTAAGGAAAAAAACCAAGAATCAAATACAAGTTATTGCAAGATGCCAAGGAAAGAGGGAGTCTGGGTTTACCAGATTTGAAATTGTATTTTGATGCATGCTGTTCAGTTTGGTTAAAAGAGTGGGTGAACCTCCAGAATAAGATGATGCTCGATTTGGAAGACCATGAATTAAGGTTTGGTTGGTATGGGTATTTATGGTATGATAAAGTTAAAGTAAATGCTGATTTTAATAATCATATTATTAGATGTGCCATATTAAGAGTTTGGAATAAATATAAAACAAGTTTCTTTTACGAAATTGCCCCTATAGGTTTCCCCCCAAGAAGCTTTTCTTAGAAATGAAATGTGGTGAAGCCGGACTAGTGGACACACAGTAAAATGGTATCTTTCAATTCTGGAGACCCCATCCTCAAGTCTAGAGAAGAATTAGAATTAGAAGATCACGCTTGTCACTGGTTTACATATCAATAAATGAAGGAAAGATTTAAACTAGACAAAAAAGGTCATGGTTTTGAGTTTGCTAAAAATGAATTGGAAATCCTATTATGTGGTAGTGATGATAAGATAAGATAAGATAAGATAAGATAAGATAAGATAAGATAAGATAAGATAAGATAAGATAAGATAAGATAAGATAACCTTTATTGTCATTTTTTTACTGTGGGCACAACGGCACACATCAAAAGTAAAATTTAGTTGCCCACCTCAAAGTGAAACACATACATGACACACACCTAAACATACTATGTACAACATATGTATAGACCCACACCCCTACATATACATAACAAATAAATATTAAATAATGTCCATCTTGAATATATAATGGAAGGAGGAAGCTTGAGAGTTCACAAGGCTAATGCTGTATGGAATGAAACTATGGCTGAATCTGGATGTTCTACTACGGATTCCATGAAGCCTCCTCCCAGAAGGTAACAAGGGAAACAGGTCGTAAAGAGGATGTGTAGTGTCCCAGATAATCTTACAGACTGTCAATGCTGCTAACATTGGATGTTCTTGCTTTGACAAAATATGCAGAGCTGTGTGGTATTTTTAGAGTTAACTTAGATGATGTTGGGAGGAGAGGAGAAAGAATGTGTGTGGGGACTACTTAAGATAAAAACCCCAAGCTACAGAAATGGAAGGGAATCTTTGCCCTTCAAACTGACTGGAGAACGTGATTTATGACAGTAAATAAGGGAGGGAAATATGCTGGCAAAATATGTGCTCAGGGGAGGGGAATTCAGATCTTGGCATCCCTCTATGCTGTGCTGACACTTTGTTGCACAAATAAAGACTTTTTAGGATAAACAATGCCTGGAAGTTCTTTGAAGTATTTCATTAGTCAGAACCTTGACACGGACCCTGCTCAAGCAATGCTTCTGTACTATATCCTGGATGGGAGGGAGGGAGCTGCCAATGATCTTTTTGACCATTCTCACCACTCTCTGCACTGCCTTCCTGTCTGAAGCAGTGATGCTTCCAAACCAGACTGTGATGCCATATGACAGGATGCTCTCGATCGTCCCCCTGTAGAAAGTGGTCAGGACGGGAAGGAAGATGTGCTTTTCTCATGCAATGCAGAAAATGTAGGCGCTGCTGAGCCTGCTTCACCAGTTTCTCATTGGTGAGCGACCAAGCCAGCTACTCATTTGCTGCACACCTAGGAATTTGATCATATAATTGCCAAGGTTTATAAAACATTATTAAATTTTAATTTGGAAAATGAACATGTAAAACACTGTATAATCCAGTGGGCAAGGAATTTTGGGTCTAATGTGATGTTTGAACAATGGGAGAATATGTGGATAAAAGGCTTAAAATTAACATTAAATTATAACCTAAAAGAAATTTTTTTACAAAATGATATATTGCTGGTATTTAACAGAAGGTACGTTATCTAGAATGTATAAAGGTATCTCAAATGAATGTTGGAAATGTAAATGTAAAGAAGGGACTTTTTATCATTTATGGTAGACATATGATAAGGCAAAGAGATATTGGAGTAGGATTCATATATTAATGCAGAAAATTCTTAAAGTGAATATAAAGATTAAACCAGAAACTTTCCTTTTGGGTCTAATGGAAAGAGAACTAGAAAAAAATTTGGAACTCTGATTTTATATATGGTGACGGCAGCAAGATTGCTCTATGCACAAAAGTGGAAGGATGCCTTGATTCTTACCATGGACGAATGGTTACAAAAGCTGATGGAATTAGCAGAGATGGTCAAATTGACTGTGCTTATAAAAGAAAAGAAGTACTTTTTTTCTACTTAGAAACTGTTTCTGGACTTTGTGCTTGAGGTGAAAAAAAAAGATATTATGATTTTGGGTTTTACTAATTAGACTGATTTGCCAATACAAAAATGGCTAGTGCATACTACTATAGAAATGTAAAAAAGTTGAGATTTGATTTTAATGTCTGATCTTATTGCAACAGTCGGAAGTCAATGCCTTTTGTTTCTTCCCCTCCCTTTCTTCACACCTTTTTTGTTTTCCCTTTTTCTACTGTTGTTCTCTGTTATTTGCTCTTGTATTTTCACATTTTATGTTATAAATGAATAAAACTAATTTAAAAAAATAAGGGCTTTAAAATGCCAGTCATGACCATGAGATTTTATTCTCTTCAGGCAGTAGAATAAGCTATAACAAGCTTGAACTAAATGAGATTTCTATTTACATATTTGTGCATAAAAGGGCAATGGAATTAATAAAACATCATATGTTCTGGAATGCCACTTTATAAAAAAAATTGTCACAAATACCATGTTCATATGGTGAGAACGTGCCAGCATCAATGTTAATGTAGGGATCTATTTTGATTGCAGTTACTCGGAGGCCACATGATTTCAGGATGGTACCTATGCTGCTTGCAATAATTCCTTTGCCAATACCCGAAATGACACCACCAGTTACCAGGATATACTTCATCGGAAAATTATGAAAATACTGTATCTCTTGAGTTGGAATCCTAAAAATGAAAAGATTAGATACAGATATCATTATTCACACAGGAAATAACTATCATAGCATATAATATGCATTTAGCACAGTAGAACTAAAATTAAGAATCAATTTAAGAAATTAAATAATATCAAGTACATTCATATATAGTATAATGTTGTACAGTTATATATATTTGCCATGAAAATAAACTGCAAATGACAGACAACTAAAAACTAAAGGTTTATCAGTTTAACAAATACTAGAATATTTTAAAAGATGGGGAGATGTAAAATACATGCCACTTCAAGCAAATGTATTCTTAATTCATGGAAATGACTAGAAGGGATCTAGAAATAGATATGCAAGAATGTCAGTGAAAATGTGAATGGAAAGTGGTGTTGAAATTCCTGTTAAAAACGAAAAATGTAATTTTGGGATGCTGAGAAAGGAGACATTAAAACTGCCATTGTTTTTTTTTTTTAAATAGCATCCTTTGGATTGAAATTGTATTGTGTAATTTCAGATCCAATAATGTAAAAGAGGTTTACCACTGCTTTCATCTACAGCAATGTTTCTCAACATTGGCAACTTTGAGATTGTGGACTTCAACTCACAAAATTCCGCAACCAGCAAGGAATTTGAAGTTTTTCAACTTCTTTTCTAACCCAGTCTGCATTTTTCATGGAAGTCTCTCATCAAAGTACTAATCTGGGCCAGCACACTTAGGTTCCAAGTTCTGGTAGATGCTGTTATGCATATCTCTGGGTGCTTAAATGAGGAAAATTAATTTTGATTGATCGTATATCAAAGAGGATATTGCAAAGATGAAAAGTGCAGAAAAGTGCAACTCCTGTATTCAAGAGAACAGCTGAATGTCAAATACCTCTCTTCTTTCTGATTACTTATCAAGTAGTCTCACATAAGTTTTGGAAGCTGTTAAGTTAGAGGAAGAATATAAAAAACACTTCAGCAGCAAAAAGAAGCAAATTTGCCAAAAATGGTAGATGATGAAGCAGAGAGAAGGCTTCATGGTAGATGATGAAGCAGAGAGAAGTAGTTAGGCCAAGAGAGAGTCTAAGTCTGTTTGTCTCCAAGGATACAAGGATTTCTGGTTTGTCCTTCACCTTTATTAACAGCTTCTGGAATAAGAACCTATGAGATTCTCCTTTGAGACTATCTGCTGGCAAGTGACAAGTGTTTTAGTAGACTGTCATTTTAATCATGCATGGTAGAAATATTTGCATTTGATGACACCTACTGAGAAAACAAGGAATTGCATATCATGAATCTGACTATTTTTTCTTGTTTGTCAAGAAAGGCAAAAAAAGCAACTAACTACAGTGGTACCTCGGTACTCAACTGCTTTGAAACTCATCGAATTTGGTACTCAATGCATTTTGAAGAGAAAATTATGTCCAGGTACTTGTTGTTTGTTTGGTACTCAATGCTCAAGCTAGAACTTGTCGCTGTCAGTTGCCTCGTGGCTTGCTACCCTTTCCAGCCGAAACAAAAATGATGCGTTAGTCACGCAGTAGCTCTTGCCCTGTGCACATCCCCGTACAGTCTTGTCTTAGCTTCTGTGGTCATTTTGTCTATTTTTCCACTTTTTGTCTTATCAGTACAGGTAAAGCAAAGTTTCTATTTTATTTAATGTAAGTATTTATTATTTTTTATGTTTATTTCTCATGTAAAGTAGTGATATATAACCCTATCATTTTACATATAACATTAAAAATGTGCATTGTCTTTGGTTTGGAAATGCATTTAATTTATTTACATTATTCCTTATGGGAAAATTTTGTTTAGTACTCATCATTTTTGGTACTCATCGTGCCTTCTAGAATCATTTAAAAATGAATATCGAGGTACCACTATATAGACTTAGATGCAGAGTTTTTTCAAATCCACCCTTGGTCATGAGCTTGGAGCAAGAAATAGCAAAGGGACAAGTATTCCCATCCAAGGAAAATATATATTTAAAGGTTTTAGCTTGGAAGAGTGATAGAATGTGATAACATTTTATGCACATGCATATAATGTAAGGAAAGTGAGGAAAAAAACACTTCATCTCTATCATAATATTAGAACCAGAGGTCACCCAATGAGACTTAATAGAGAGTTCAGAGGAAGCACTTCAACACCTACTGGGTAATTAAATTATAAGGATTTTCTAAAAGATACAATATTGGTTGCACAAATCAATAGCTTGAAAACAAAATAATATAAACTCAAGATGGAAAAGGGGAGATCTTTCCAAGCTATTAAGTATAGTGTTGATCCATGGTGTTTCCTGGAATTAAGGATCTCCTTGACTTCAAAATGCTGTTCTCCCTCCACCATAGTAGGTAGAGGGGGAGGAACCATAGCTGGCCTTAGAGGTGAGCTCAGTTCAGGTTTTAATAGGCTACAATGAAATACTGAGTGAACCCGTAAGGACCCACTTCAAAACCTCTTCCCAAGAAAGCAGGACTCTTGGAATGAAGTCATCTCAAAAGAAACTTTTATTAGAAGAAGTTGACAGCAGGCATAGAAGGCAGATTCTGAGGGGTTCCCGCGCGAATCAATAGATTAAAAGAGCAAAAAGCAAACCCCACCCCAATAGTGCATCTGGTCAGTTCAAACAGGCCAATCCCCAGGTGTTGAATCCACTGTAGGAACAGGGTTGATAAGACGCCATTCCCAAGGATGTGAAACTGTTATTAGGTCTTCGCACCTTCTCTTCTGCAGCGAGAGATAAGCCAGATAGCCAGAGGCATATTGCTTTCTCACCCCAGGATGGCATCAAGGGGAAACAGTTCAAAGAGCAAGGCGATAGAGGAAGTGGAGAGAATACATTGTAGCGGCTAAGCGAAGTAACGAAAAAAGAGCGTTGTCTTACCTGAACGCTTTTTCTCAGCAGGATGGTGTAGACTCCACTGATTGGGTAATTTAATCCCACCTGCTCAGACTAAGACAAAAAAAACTCTGCCACGCCTCCTTCTGGGTGTGACTTCCCAGTTTTTGTCGAGGCGAAGCTACCAGACGCAAGGCTCCAAACAAAAAAGGAAGACACAGGCCTAGACTAACACTAACAGGGTGGGTGTGGAGTCTACACCATCCTGCTGAGAAAAAGCGTTCAGGTAAGACAACGCTCTTTTCTCCATCAGGATGGATGTAGACTCCACTGATTGGGACATACCAAAGCTGCTCATGTCCCTATAGGGAGGGAGTCTAGGCTTGTGACCCCTGAGAACCCACTATTTGCTGTAGGACTCTCCTACCGAAAGCAGCCTCAGCTGCTGCAAATTGATCTATCCTATAATGTTTTATGAATGAGGAAGGAGAGGACCATGTCGCAGCCCTGCAAATCTCCTCGAGTGATGCCTGGGTAGACCAAGCCGCTGAGACAGCAGCACTACGTGTAGAGTGAGCAGTAATATGTGAAGGTACCGGAAGGGACTGGGAAATATAAGCCCTGGAAATACACATCCTTATCCACCGACCAATGGTGGAAGAAGAGACCTTCCGACCCATAGTTGAGGGTTGAAAGGACACGAATAATGCCTCGGACTTCCTGAAGGTCGAGGTTCGTTTAATGTAATGGCGCAGAGCCCTGCGCACATCCAACATATGCCACCGTCTCTCCAGATGATGGAAAAGGTTAGGACAGAAGTTAGGAAGGACTAGTTCCTGCGAGCGGTGAAACCCTGTATTGATCTTTGGAACAAATGCAGGATCCAACCTGAGGACCACTCTATCCTCATGGAACATGCACAAGTCCTCCCTGACCGACAGGGCCGCCAATTCTGAAATCCTCCTGGCCGACGTGATGGCCACTAGGAAGGCTACCTTCAATGTAAGGAAGTGAAGGGAGCAAACTTTCAGAGGTTCAAATGGAGAGGACGTTAAAGCCTGTAACACCTTAGAGAGGTCCCAGGATGGATAACGATGAACCGTGGGGGGCCCTACATTGGCCGCACCCTTGAGAAAGGCACTGACTGCTGGGTGTTGGGACAAGGAAACCTGGTTGTCACAGGTGAGAACTGTCAACAAGGCTGCTATCTGCCTACGTATGGTGCTGGTTGACAGACCTCTAGTTAACCCCTCAAGTAAGTAATCTAATATGTCTGGGATGGAGACAGCAAGCGGTGAAAGCCGCTTTTTGGTACACCAAGAGCAAAAACTTCTCCAAGTGGCGTCATAGATTATGTTGGTCGAGGGACGCCTCGAGGCCTGGATGACGGAAATAACCCCAGAGGAGAAAGACTGTTTGGTCAGACTCTCCCGCTCAAGTGCCAAGCGGCTAATTGGAGCCACTGTGGATCCGGATGTTGGAGGTTCCCCTGGCTGAGAGCTACTCGGTCCGGGGGAATCTTCCATGGAGGTGAAATTGACAGGTCCACCAGGTCGGCAAACCACGGGCGTCTTGGCCAAAATGGAGCCACTAAGATTAGCTCTGCCTGTTCCTGGATGAGCTTGCGAATGGTCGCTTGTATTAGTGGAAGAGGAGGGAATGCATAAAGTACGCCCTCCGGCCATCTGCTCCGGAGGGCGTCCGTTCCCTCCGCCCCCCTCGCCGGAAACCTGGTAAAAAAATCTGGGGAGCTGTGCATTGATCGGAGAGGCAAAGAGATCTAGGATGGGCTGTCTGAACCTGCGTGATATTTCCTGGAATAGGATTGAGTCTAGCTTCCACTCTGAGTGATCCACTGTGACCCTGCTCAGGGAGTCTGCCTGTTGATTCGCCTCCCCCGATATGTGCTCTGCCCTGATGGACCTCAGGTTGGACTCTGCCCACAGCCCTATGGCCTGGGCTTCCTGCATGAGTGTCCAAGAGTGGGTGCCCCCTTGTTTGTTTACGTGAGCTTTGGCCGCAATGTTGTCTGTCAGGATTAATACGTGTTTCCCTGAAACAAGGGGGGAGAATCTTTGGAGAGCCAGGTGGATGGCCCTGAGCTCCAGCCAATTTATATTGTGAGCCAGGTCTGAACTGGACCACTGACCCTGGGCTAAGTGGTTCAGAATATGACCGTCCCAACCGAACAG